CCCCAAAACCCCAAAACCCCAAAACCCCAAAACCCCGGATCATAATAAATTTATTGAAATTGGGATATATTATTCCATACTAAGTCTTCTTCTGGTCATTCCAAACCTTGGGCCTGCTCTAGTCAAAGATCTTCTTGAAATATTATACACTGGAGTGTTGAATTGACCTAAAAGAGGTTGAAGAAGGAAACATTACCCTGCAAATGGCTTTGAACACTTGGAATAAAGTTGTTTTCTAGCTTTGAGTTTATTCTTTCGTAGTCATTTTGGAACATATTCGGTTTGTTCATTTCTTTATGAATAAGCTTTGGATCAGGAATAAGACTTCCGGCTGCACATGATGTTGAGAAGTACCCTTTCAAACTTCCGACTTGAGTAGTATTTCCAAAATGCTTATAAGTCTTCATGTACAAACTTGTAAGAGGCTCCTTTGGAGCGCATTGGTTCAGGAAGTCACCTGATGTTTTTAGATTCTTCTGAGATTTATCAGGGGGAATGAACCAAGATTTATTTAGATCTCTGAAGAGTTGAAAGATGGTCTCTTTTACCACTTTTAGCAGTTTGGATCTTTCTTTTAAAGACTTCGTTCTTTACTTTTTGTGTAATTGTTTCTATCATCTTGTCATATCTCTCGGCAGTGACTTTCTCAGACTTCTCATATAAGTAATGAATATCTCTCTGAGTTGTCAAAGTTGGCTGATATGCTTTAAAATATGTAAAAAGTGCTTTGATACTATACAACGCCATTCCTAAGTAATCAGGATGCTCTTTGGTCTGCTGCCAGTTGTCAAGATATCTCAAGGTTGTTTGGTTAAGTATTTTTCAACTTTTCAGTTCAGAAAATTTCTTAAATTTAAGAATATTCATATCTTTGTAATCTTTGAAATCTGGTTTGCGACCGAAGAAGTCACCGTAGTTAGATTTGAACTTTTCTTTCTTATACTGAGCCCTAGCTCTTTCAATCATGTCTTTATTATTCGATTTTACTTTGGCGTATATTTGTTCGATCGGTATTTTATTTTAAAGAATTTCCTGCTAATTCTTTCTTCATTTCAGGCTTGAGGGTACGGAATTTTTTGGAACCTTTATGTTTGAATACTGCTGCAATGATGCTAAGCCCCTTTTTATCTTGAAGAGAAGCTTGAGCTAACCATTCGTAAAGATTTGGTTTTCTTGGCCGAAAATTTTCAGTTACAGGTCTTTGAGAAGATTGAGATTTAAGGTTTCTAAGCATATTTGAACCATCTCCAAGTTCATTCTGAATATCAGTACCCCCTTCCTTTGGTGTAAAAGCTCCTGGGGCATCATTAACAATAGTTGAAGAGAGTTTAGTTTCCACTTTGACCCCTCGCTTATTATCTCTTTTCACATTTTGAGCACTAACATGTATCTAAACAATAAGCCCATCTCACAACTAAAACTCCCTCCAACCCCTCCAAATCCCCCTCATCACTTACAATTCACGGCTGCAATATCTTCTTCAAAATCTCAACAAACTCATTCTTCCCTCCACTACCCCCTTCAATCCCCTTCTGTCCCAAAACTGGCTGTGACTGGCTCTTATTCATCTAAAACCCCATTATCTCCCTCACCCCCTCACAACCCCCAAAAAATTACTCTAATCCTTAACAAATTCTCCCCGTCCACATACTTCTTCACAAAATTATTTTATTAATTCTTATTTTATTTCAGATTTTATAACTGTGGGGTTTTGGGGTTTTGGGGTTTTGGGG